AGAATATTTTAAAATATAAAATAGTTACAATAAGTGTGAATTATTGTGTTCAAATCTTAACATTTTCGTAATATATATTTTTTCGTTATTTTTGAATTGCAGAATAAAGGTAATCTACTCTTTTTTATTTTGATTGTTAAAATTGATATATATTTTTTTCATGAATATATATATACTGTGACATAATTAATTCAAATTCTTTCATAAGCAGATGCTTTGAAATATTCCATTCTTGTAGCAGCCGCCGCTTCGGATCCTGCTCCACCGCAATTTCTGGCCCCATATTCTGGGTGTGCCATGGGGGAATATTTCTGCATTAATAATCTATGGTATCTTAGTAAACAGGAGATGGCATATTGAGGTATAAAAATGAGTGTGTGACAGTTTTAATTTTTTAAAAAATTAAAATTTTAATTAAATAAAATAACTTAATTTAAAATTATAATTCTAATTTATTTTAAAAATTAAAATTAATACATACTTTTATATATCTATATATATCTTTAAGATTTAGCGTCATCTAGCATTGTTTTTTTATTTTTTATTTATAAACAGAAGATATAGCATTAAATAAAAGCCAAAGTCAGGTCCTGGGGTAGCCAACTCCTACAGCATCAGCAAAACATAACAGCTCAACATCCACAGGACAATTATACAAGATAACAAAATCAGAAGCGTGAGCACCCTTCTTGGCCATGGTGTCAGCAGCCATATTACTCTCCCTGAAAATTTGCACCGAGCATTGTTGCGCGTGCGTGATTGATGATCTAATGCTGGACTCACGGTTCATGCAATCTAAAGGCAATTAAATTATTAAACAACTCCCGCACGGGAGGAAACTCTATTAATTATTACGATAAGTCACCACTCCTATCACGCATGACGACTGACGAGCAAACAGTGCATGTTCTAAGAAGCTTAGAATTTTATTGGAAAGTCACGCACATGATGGCAATGTTGAGAATTAAATACTTCAAAAAGAATATCCAGTATACTCGCTTTAATAT